CAAATCATTTTGAAATGAATTGAGATGACTTGACCACCATCTTGGACTCCCCTGGTGAAGACTAGAACTTGTCATTAAGATACATTAATAAATGATGGTGTTATCAACTCTCCACCAGAAACAAAACCGTGACCCCATTGTCCTGCCACTCCACGCCGAGACCAAAGCCACCGTCTTTTTGGCACGGAGACATCAGCTTTACAAAATCACGCCTCGATGTTAACTTTTCCCAGAGACAACAAAAAAATGGAACTCTCCTTCATTAAAAACCGTGTAAGGACATGGAACACTGAGTCCGCCGAGGGTTAGGATCATGTCTAATTCTGTCACTGTCTAAAGTGCAAAACGCCAGCCTCACAGGAGTCTTTGTCAGATACTGGCGTTCCTGTCTATCCCCTTTTGTATTCTATTACAACATTATCTTGACGAATTCCTCAGAATTTGCTCTTCCTGTTTGAGGCTCACTAAAAGGCAAGTGTTATATAAAATTATTCTACTTGTTATTTTCAAATGAAAAATCTTAAAATTCTATTTTTAATGAATATATATTTACTTTATGTATTCTAATTCATTCCACTGTGTATTTTTAAAAGTCAAAAAGCAGTAGAACCCCCTATTAGTGTAGTTTCTCTTTCTTACAAACATATGGAAGACTCACTTTATCACTATTTTATCCTCACTCTTCAGGTTTTTTCTTTTTTGTTTTTCTGTCTTCCTCACATCAGGCAAGCCATGGTAGAAAGCACACAAGAAGGTTTTATTCACATGTCGTGGCAGTGCCGTCTTAATGGAACGATGGCAGGTGACCTTTAGGCTTACCTAATTATAGACCAATATTGCCAGCCTGGCACACAGTGTTCTTTTTGAGGGCCTACATTCAGACCATATATAATAAAACAGGTGATACTTCGGTAAGAAGTACACTCAGAAAATTATACTACTACGGCCACCTACTTCCTGTCTCATATATATACTCAAGTCCTCAATTTTAAGTCCGATGTTATGAACAGAATTGTAAAAACAAAACTTGGATTTCCAAATATTACTCGGTGCATGTGTGTTTTTGATATTGTACAGTGTATCTACACACAAGTCTTTAACACAGTATAATAAAAAAAAAACATAGAAGGTTTGGTATTATAAATATTGTTAACAAGTATTTTGTATAATGAACAGTATTTAACGCTGGGTATCACAAGGGATGACTTTCAAAATGTGGGTGTTTCCATAATGTTGATACCTAAACATAATATGTCATGATATTTTATTGTATTAATTTGTAAGGATTCAGATGGACGTTGTGTTGGTCAAAATCAATGTACAGTCACATTTCAACTTATGAATCTTTGTATGTCGACTTCTGTCTCGCTGAGTAATTTTCCATTGTTCAGTATCTATAAAAAATATTTTCATAAACCAAATTCACTTCAAACACTAGAGCACCTAAACTGATAGGGTTAAACCATTAATTTTCAAATTGGAAGACATTTTCCCATGATGCTTTGGAGATTATTAAATCTTTCGTTTTCCCAGGTGAAAGCATAGCAGAATGTTAATGACATAATGATCTCACTCTTAATTTCTCCTCAAAGAAATTTCTAAACTAATGAAATCAAATCAGATTAGATAGGAGCGTTGCATTTTTAAAAAGGAGTAATTTCAAATTTGCTACACCAAGGATGCAATTTATGTTTAAATAATATTATGATTGAGAAGATTGTCTAATCAAATTGATCTCAGCTGAACTTGGGGGTTTGATTGATCTCTGGTTTGTCCTTCATTCTACTTATCATTTGATGAATCCTAGTTTTTATCAATATGCCTTAAAGATATCAATCGAGACATGAGCAAAACATGTGCCACAACATGATGATCACTTCCCATACATTAATGAAAAGTTCTAAATAAACAAGCAGCAGGAAGGTATAAAAACTTAGTGAATGACTTGGTCGCTGGCTTGTAATATTTTCTCTTTGAATTTATAGATATTAATGTACCTTCATTACATAATCAGGCCTAATTAGGGCCCTCAAGTAGCTTTGTAATTAGAGAAAATCCCAGCACGGTCATTTTTCACAACCGATTACAAGTCAATAGGATCAGTTACTCTGATTAAATAACCCAACTATCCTGTGTTGAAGAAAAGCAGATTGTTTCTGTCCCTTATACTGGCTACAGACTTCACATGTTTCTGTCACTAATAATGGCTACAGACTTCACATGTTTCTGTCCCTTATACTGGCTACAGACTTCACATGTTTCTGTCACTAATAATGGCTACAGACTTCACATGTTTCTGTCCCTAATACTGGTTATAGACTTCACATGCTTCTGTCCCTAAAACTGGCTACAGACTTCACATGTTTCTGTCCCTAATAGTGGCTACAGACTTCACATGTTTCTGTCCCTAAAACTGGCTACAGACTTCACGTGTTTCTATTCCTATAACTATCTATATCCAAAAGAAATACCAATGTTAATGAATTCAGATCTAATGCAATTAATCCGTTCATTTAATGTGGTGATTAAAAAATCGTAGTTATGGAGAATAGTAATGTACAAAGGTTGAATTAAAAAAAACGACAATGTTAGTGATGTGAGTGTGCAAACCCACAATAACATGAATCAGGATTGTGACTTTTATTTTGGCTTTGGGTATAGAGGTTTAGTGAAATTCAGACAACTTTTAAACGACTGTTATCACAAGTTTATCACATGCAGTACTACATTCACAAGCTTACTCATCAATACAGTGAAATGGCAGCATTCTTTAGTGTTCCATCGTTTAGTCTACCCAGCTGTATAACAAGATAACATCTGTGACAGACTTGTGTCTTTCAAAGAATGAGGTTGTCTTGTCTAACATTAGTGAATCTGGTTAATCACTAAGATTTTATGAATTATCAGTCAGTAGGACTAATGATTATAGTTTAGTAGTACATAACAATACAATTTATATAGACTCAACCAGAACACCAGTCAAATATAGACTCAACCAGAACACCAATCAAATATAGACTCATTATTTCAAATTTTAAGAAGAAATACATGTGGAAACCAACAGATAATGAATAGAAACATGGGGGTTGCCAAGTATTTAAAAAAAGTAATCATTTCCTAAATCCTCACCTATTAAAGACTAAATCAGAAGAAATTTAGCTATCTCTAATTAAATTCTACAACTAAATATAAGATATGTTGCCAGCTGGCGTGTAAAAGCAATCCCATCATGCACCTATCTCATCCCATCATGCACCTCTTTCAATCAGAACACCACCATAAATTCCAATTCCTCTATATTCATAGGTGTGATATTCTCACATGCTTTGATCTTCAATCAATACAAATCTTAGACTTCTGTTACGAAAGAGCTGCGAGCTGAAAATTAGCCAGCCCTCGAGGAAATCTTTGTGTAAATATTCACTCAAAACTGACTGATACCAAACAACTTTGACAAATTGTTTTTAAATTTGCTTTGATTTCCTGGCGGGATTTTGTCGAGTTTCAGTGCCATTTGTACAATTTCCGCAATTCAATTGCTTCCTGTCTGCAATTGAACTTCCCAATTACTTGATCATTACTCTTTTTCATCTTTTTTTTTCCAACTAATATTTTTCTTTGTATCTTTAGCTGATCTGAATTGTTTAAGTCAAATGGAACATTACAAAACACCAACATGTGTATTTGGAAGTTTCTATTCGTGTCGCGCCAACTACAGGTTCTCTGTGTCCTGCTGTCAAAGCATGAAATGTTTAAGAGAACAGAAAACAACTTGTAATTATAAAAACGAACAAATTGATCAAGTTTTCTCCAGCTAATCTGCTATGGCCTTCATTTTTTTTCTGTCCAATTTACCAAGAAAAGCTTGAGTGATAATCTCCTCTGATCATAAATAAAATCATTTTAGTGGTAATTAAACAATTACAGTCAACAACAGCACGGACACATCATTTAGAATCTGGCGAAACAAAATTGTATTCTTTAATTAACACCTGAAGAATTATGCAAATTAAACTACTCGACACATGCAACAGTGTTTTCATCTCCTACCATCTCGGATGCCTTAGGGAAACTACGCAATTTTGGTTTAAAGTATAGCTCTGATGACAATACAAATGACAATTATGAGTTTTGTAGGGAAGCTCCCTTAACTCCCCTGTTTAATTTTGGTGTACGAAATGAGTATTGTATTGACCTTACAATATATCCTTATAATTCCATTGTTCGATACAAGTATGGTATTGAAGTCTGATCATTAAACTACATTAAATAACTGATATATAGTAACGTCTCAGAAATAACAAGGTAACAATAGCAACAATTTCTACAAACAATGAACTTTAAAATTAAACCTGCATCATGCCTACTTTTACAGAAGAGTAATTTAAAATTGATGTATTTGTGAGACCGTCAGACAGTTTTTATTTAAAATAAATGGTTTATACAAAGCCATTGATCAAATGTTTTTTTCACTGAAGTTTAAATTCCCCACAAATTCCACCCCCAGGAGGAAGATGATTACCTGTATACTTCCCTTAATGTGAACTGTAGCCCGGGACAAGCTGTAATTGTTGTAAATGTGATACTCCAGGAGGATCAGTAGGTTTCATACTGAGCCTATAATCAGATTACAGTTAATTAGGGGGTGCATGCTTCTGATTAGTTTTAAAGACAGTCGGTGTAACAATGTCAATATATACATGTCACCATTGTGTTTTACTATTTTTTTTGTGTTCTTCCACATCCTGTATATTTATATAGAGAAATCTACAGGGGCTTTAAATGAGTTTGCCGTATGTGACTTTTAAATTAAAATGTTAAATATTGGTACCAATAAATAATTTTATCTTCAATGCAGTCCCAGGGAGTCCTTTTCAGTCAACCTGAATCATGGCAGTGGTTTTGTTCAAACACTTTTTTTTAAAAGAAAAATTGTTTGAAATTAAAATAATGCAGCAAATATATATATATTAATATAGATTTTATTTCATTTGCTTTAGATCCCGGGGAATATGAAGGGATTCAACTCCAGGAATGAGAGTATACCTCTACCACACATTGATGTAATGCCGCCCATTATGATCGGGGATATTATAGACGGCATCCAAATGTACACAGTGACAGGTATGTAACCATGGTAGCACATACACATTGCGTCTTAATATAGAGTCTATTAAAAAAAATCATGTTATCTTTGAAAAATTTCATCAGGAACTAAATTCAACAGACATTAAATTCGAGACATCATCTCTGGTGATTATACCCTGTCTAAAACACGTAATCAAGTGTGATGTCGGCTCCCTGTAAAATGTCATCATTTTACACAACTTAAATACTTCTCTTAAACACAAGATCTGTAAATAGGGTAAAAACTTCCTTAATTACGAAGAAACAAAGCAATAAACAGGATCATTACGGCGACTCATTTCTTCAATAAACACCTTGACCTTTGATTAAGAACACGCAATACTTTGAGGACAGACAGACAAACCGACAGACCGTCGCCTCACTGAACATACACAGACACATAATCTTTCTTCTACTAATTACAACTATAGCCTGCAGATGGTCACCAGCAAAAATGATGTGGCACCCTAGTATATATGTACTGCTGATCTATTATAGTGTCGCCACGGAGCTCTTCAGGGAAATACTGTACCCATGGTAATGCCAAGTGGTCAGCAACAGGGGTGTGAAATACGATTGGGCAGATTGTAGGTCTGAAGCCATTTATAATTTTTTGCCAACAACACAATGCGAAAATTCTCTTCCATTACATGACAATGATGAAAAATTACCGACCAAAAAACTGAAATTAGAAGCGAGGGAAAACTGATTGTAGCAGACTAAAATAAGCCAATGTCGCTAGCTCCAAGATGATACATGCATTTCTCCTTCCACAAGAATTTATTCATCGGAACGGCAAGTAAGGACACAAGATCTATTGCACCCATTAGCAAAAATGTTATAATTACTTCTCCAGATTGACGGGTTTTAAGGCGACATGCATGAAATTTAATGACAGTGGTAGGTTTCAACTCATCATTTTCAATCCCAGACAAATAATGTCATCAACTTTGGAGGATAGTAGCATAATCACATTCATTTATTTGTCATCATTTGTGAATCATGAAACAAAGACATAAATTATCTTTGATATTATTATACGTCTTGGCATGCTGAGGAAAGAACCAGTCCCATCTTCTTTTGTGGAACTCCTAAAATTAATTTTCATTTGTAAAGAGATTTGAAGTTCCTTATAATTATGTTAATGGTTCAATCAATATTTTGATAGACATGCACACAATGGCAGACTACTGAATCAGTCAGGATAATATTTCGTTACCAGTAAGGATGGCTATCACATATATTTTCTATTCAATTTTTCCAACTTTCATAAAAAGGCCGTTTATTTTAGTTAAATGTCTTGCTTATTAAAAAAATCCTGATACATACATTTGAAGCATCACAAATTCCTTAAGGCTGCATTTTAATTAAAGGTCTTGCTTGTTAAAAATATAATAACATATATTTTAATTAAATGTCTTGCTTATTACAAATCCTAAAACATACATTTTAATTAAATGTCTTGCTTATTAAAAATCCTAAAACCTATACCAGCAACAGAGCAATATAAATTCTTCCAAAACTGTTCTTTTTCAAAAGAACATGCTATATATGTGATAGTTTCTGAACACATTTAAAGTGATTCTTCCTTTTTAAGTTGATATTAAACACAGCAGGCTACAGTAATCATGAGGTATACTTTGTATATTGGTTTCTGAAATCAGTCACAGGTATCAACACCGTCTACTTAACATTAAAACTCACAACTGTTTTGTTAAAATCATTGATAAAGCAAGTCTACACCTTCAGGCAAAATTTGGGGATATTCATCAATCTCTCTTCATCAATAAACCAGCGATATAAAAACTTTTAAAGAAGAAACGCGGACATCAAACAGCATACTTTGTTAATTACAAAGTGGTTTTAAGTGAAATCTTTTGCCACTGATTAGTATTCTCTGTAGGAGGTTGTGCGTTGTTTACAAGCATCGTCTGTTCGGCGCAGATGGGATTTGATCAATAACCCCCAAAGGCATTCCGTACATCATACATGATTATCTCCCCTGCAATGGCAGAAAGTCTTCAGAATTCAAAAAGAAGCTTGTTCCACATTTTTCTTTTTTATGAAATGAAACATTTAAAGCAAACTAACCATTGAAATATTTGATCACAGGTGATGTCAAGTGTTCTCACCCTTGCATCCCTTGTTCCTGGAGACTATTTACACTTTTAAGAACATGTAGGTATGAGAATAAAACGGCTCTAATACACCGGCATTGGACTACACATCCTTCTCAGACCTGTGAAACCTTCTCTTTAACATCACAAATTTTCTCATAAATATTTGCTGCCCATTTCCAGTGACGAATTCCATTACATACTGCAGGTCTTCAGTGAATTACCTCCATCCCAGAATCACAAAAACAAAGTTGGGACAACAATATTTGCTCCCAAGGGCCTGGCATGAACAAGTAAAATGCATTCAAATAAATTGACTGATCATTTTGTTCCATTAAATTGATGCATTTTGCGGCTAAAACAACAGATGCAATCTCCATCTGGAGGGACTTCCATGGAATCTATGTAACAAACATCCTCCCGACTCCTCTTCTTCATATTTTATTTCTGCATTGTTCAGCAATAAATAGATATGGCACTCGGATATATTTATTTTAAATAAACTGTGCATCAAATTCTTGTCAAAATATTTATCAAATAACATGTGAGGATTCAGTCAAGGTCACAGAGAGGTCACACACAATTTCATACACATGTAGAAAATGAAAATATATTTCGATGCACAGATTGAATGGTTTTTCAAATGGAAATTCAGTGTCTGTGGAATCATTCGTGGGTTAGTTGTCATATGGAAAGCACTTTACAGTTTTAGCATTTTAATAGAGATCTACAAATTATCAACAAAACTCTAACAAAATGTCTGCCAAACAGCTGCCAACCTCCATACATTTAAATTTATAGCTTCCCAATATGGTGTTATTAATTTTTGTGGACAAGCAGACATGTTTCTATCGGCAATATCTCGGAGCAAATAGAGTTATTAGAATCTCGGTTGAAAGATGTGACAAGAATGACTTTTATCATCAAGAAATATAGAGAAACAATCATATTTTGCAATACCTGTTTGGATTTGATCATTTGGATTTTGAACATGTAGCTTTTGACTTTTATTTTAACCATAAAATGATATATTTCAAATTCACATATTTCCCCTGGTAGTTAACAGCTACTATCAAGATTAGGACCTTTATTGAGGGAGGGAGACTATATGATGGGAAAAGGAACATCGTATTTATTTTCATGATCATACATCATGATGAAGTCCCAACACAGCGAAAACTAGCTAGTATGTGTTTTAAAATGCTTCTGACATTTCAAAATGAAATAAGGTATCTACAGAATTAAATCAGATTATGAGAATGTTCCTGTAGAAATAAGTTTTTATGTGGAAAATTAAAGATGGGTAAGATAGGCACTGTTGATATTCATTATACACAGCGGGTTCAATGTCCGGGGTGCCAGCAGGTGTACTGTACTTGTAATGAGACCATGCCCCTGATTAAACCCCTACGAACATCAACGCTCCTCTCCAGTTTTCATTGCTAGATTTGTGGAATAAAGACATTCCAAAAATAACCTTAACCAGGTAATTCAATTTTAGAATATATCATTTCATTTTAATACCTTTTTAGTTTAATTAGCAAAGTGAGCGTCAGGTATTCCATTTTGTAATCTGATGATAATGACTTAAAGTGCTTCACAGCTAGTAATTGAATTTAATACATAGCATAAGTTTGTAAGGAGTATCGTCAAATTTTTTTTATACAAAATTTGTAAAAGTGTATTTTCTTTTCAATGAGAAATTAAAATGAACACTACACTTAAACAATAATGCAAATTGTCATTGTCTTTTCATACATCCTATTTTTCAGCTTATTTCAAACACCCTAAGTTGATCTGCAACCCGATTGCGCGGATCGGGATAACTCTAGGTAAAGGACTCTACATACAGATGGGGCCTGACCCCGTCACTATGTACCAACAGATCGCAATGCACGCCAAGGATCTCTCTCCCATCTGGAAACCAGGAAGCTGTATTCCCACCATGGGTATGTATAGAAAAAAAATCATTGACCCCTGAAGACACATTTGAACTCTTCCAATTCAAAGGTTGGAATAGTACATTGTGAAATTTTAGGGGTGAATGAGTTTAAGGCGAAAATTCACCTGTCAGGAATTTTAATAACTCTGAATGATTAGTGTACATTGGTTGCTTTGAACTTTCATTTAGGTATAATATGGACAGCGAAAGAAGCAAAAACTACCGGAAAACATTTCTACAAGCATGGCATATAAAAATAAAAAAGTAAAAGGTCAAATCCTAAACAACAAATGTTGCATTCATTCCAGTAACTTTTTACCACGAAAAATGATTTTACAACCATAACCTTTAATTATCAGCTGTACAGTTCTATCATGTAAGGTCGTATAAGATAAGGTATGCCCATGCTCATTACCATTATCTCACAACGGCTGATCAAATTGTTTGAAAAAACAAAGGGATGTAACTCTGGTATTAATTTTGTCCAGATCTTTAAAATTTGTTTGCATGGGGTTATTACCATCAATCAACTTCTAAGATTACATGAATACGAAAATCAGCAATTCCAGTATCAAGTTAACCAGAGATTTTAGGGAAATGGTTTGTTTCTCTGTAGACTGCAATGTTACAGTTAAAAGTGTGCAGAAGTTGTTTCTTTGATTGTTTTTCCTGAAAAATCCTATTTTTTAAACTGCAACAACATGATGACTGCGAGTGATCGTTGAGAAGATTGAAAATTTTATTTCGCGATAGAGATTTTTTGTTCATTGTTGATCATACCTCCTCAGGAGAATACTACCTTTCAGTTACATATGAAGGATCATATACTCTAAATTAAGTTGACCAAAAATGACCTTTATTTGACCTTGAACCTAACTTTACCGATGCTGGACAGTGAAAGGTAAGAGATTGATTACCTCACACAAATGTTACAGTAATTAACAGAAAGTGTCCTGTCTTCCATCCTCAATCAAATCTGTGACCAAATCGTAGAAATGTGACATAATTATCCGACAGCAGGTGCCAATCATGCCGGTTCTGCTTGTCAAAAGATTAACGTGTGACACCTAGGAACTCCCTCCGGAGATCCATGTGACTGCCAGGAGAGCTCCCCTTGAGGCAAAGAACTCAACCTTAATATTCTCGCTCGCACCTACATTGTAAAGTTCTTTACATTTTATCCATGATCTCATTGTGCCTGGTAAGAACATGTGAATGAATTATACATCGTAACATTGTAATTCATGATTCCCTTTCATCTTTCAATTAGCAAGCTATCAATTATTTACTTATGGTGTGACATGGTAACCGATAGTTACAGCATGATAACGACCGACCAGCATCCAGCAAGGGCAAATTATTCAGCCCCTCATGAAATTTAGATTTGACAGTTGACCATACTTTACTGCACCCTATCATGTGACTCCGTTTACTACACAGGGACTGTTTAATGCTAATATGGGAAATGCCAATATCACAGCTTGAGGAAAATACGGAGTAACACTACTCTCATACTCCACTGCTCTGTAATGGCAGCTGGTCATGCAAAGGTCTACTATCACAAGCCAATTGTTGGTTAGGAATTAGCCCCTATTAGATTTGGTTTAAATCAAACCAACATGGAAAAGAAGTCAAGGAATGGGTTGTTTTCTCACTTCTATTTCCTGGCATCTTCCTCATGACGCATCACTATGGAAACAGGAGAGTTCTAATTAAAACACACCAGAAATGAAGCATGTGCCAGTTGCAATTCAGTTGATTTATACCTTTTATATATTTGAAAGAAATTAAAACAATTGAGGATTTCTTTAGGAAAAGTGAAAAAGACATCTGATACTTAATTGAAGTTGAAATTGCTCTTTAAATAATTTAAATATTATTTGAAAATTTCAACTAACTGAATGTCAACAGGGGTGTATCTAATCCAGATATGTCTAAGAGTTCAAATAACGTCCAATGTTAATTGCATAAAAAAAAAATGAAAAATTATAATTAAAGATATTGCAAGAAAATAATTATGTCTTTAACATAATTATTAGGTGAGAAACACCCTAATCTTCTTGAGAGAAATACAGATTGTCATTTAAGTCATCAACTCAATTTTCAGTTTCAGTAATTTGTGTACTTCATGAAAATAGAGTTCCAAATTAGAATCAGTACCAATCTTCCTCAGAGGGATAGTTTTTCCAGGGATTCAATTAAATACATTTAAAGTATTCCAGAAAGGAATGTGCCGCAGCAGAAATGATTTTAAGAATGCTTCAAACGAAGACATTAGGTATTACAACACAGTGACAAAAACCATATCAGACAGTTGTTTATTTAGGAAATTCACTTGCCCTTCTAAATACATTCATCAGTTCAATAATAAATCAAGTTGAACAACCAACCTAATTAACTTGGATATGCATCTGGTTTAGCCAGCATGGCCTGAGACAGACACCAGACTCTCCAAGGTAAAGGAGTCTTTCCATAAGTTTTAAAACCAGATGAATATCAATTATCTGGTATACATGCTATACAAAGCGTGAGATTTAGCTGGAGATCGATAATGCTTATAAAAATGTTTAAGTTTTATATTAAAATATAATTTTGAATAACAAGATACAAAGGATGAAATACGGCTATATTGTTATTAATAAGTAATCTCAAGAACAAGCTGTATTATTGGAGGGTGGGGGGCAGAACAAAGTTGAAATCAGATATTACAGATTAAGTGTTAAAATTTATATCTGGATGAAATGTATAATATGAAATGTACACATGACGAACTGTACTGTCTAAGATTTGTTTAGGCTGGAAAAGATTTTTCCACAGAAATTTTAGCTGAAATAAAAAAAACATTAAACAGCGGTTAACCTCATCAATAATTCAAAGTTATGAATACAGGAATAGAACAAAACAATGAATCATGCTGGTCGACTTCGGTGATGTAGAACATATTGTCGCCACACTAGACTGATTCTGAAGTGCATTAGAACATTATAAACGAGGCAGGTCTGACAAAAGAAGGTGCACCTTTGAAATTCAAAGCGATTTTATAACAGGGAGTTCAATCAACTCCCGAACACATGTACACAATGTAATCTGTAGACGATCTCATGCAAACAGATACTTTTATTAGGAGTAACATTGAACTTCTTAAATTGAGAAGGAAAAATATCAAAACGCAATAAACCTAAGAGGATTTCAGTAGAATTATATGATAACACAATATGTGCTAATTGTCAATAGTGGCTATCATCTTCTCCCGTCATGCGATTGTCAATATGGTTGCGACCTGGCTCATCGCCAGCGAAAGCTATAAATACAGGAAGTTCTGTTTCATATTTAGTATTTTGCTTTCGGCTATTGTCAGCAGACTGAATTGCCTTTGTCAATTACATATAAGTGACTTGATTATGTAATACAGAACTAGATTTTATCTCCCAGAGTTTGATAGCCTAAATTAACTTGTTACAGTCGCTAGGTTACAAGAAAAATTCTCTATTTAACCCATTTTCAAAAAGCCAAACTTAATATCTGGAACTTGTGTATTAAGGTAAACACCATCTTTGTCCATGGATAAATTAGATTGGACTCCATTGAAGGTGACAATGGTGACAAGGGAACAACAATGTTTGCAAGTCGAATTCTGTCAAACAAACAATGGACAGGTTGTTTCAGATCATTTCAGATAGCCGTCTACTATCAGATCAGTACTGCATACAAAATGTGAAACTCTGATAACTGTATCTTCTCATAAACCTTCTGAAGCCAATCATTTATCATACACAATCAGTAGCACTAACGAGAAAGGTTTTCCTTGCTCACAGCTTAAATTATCCTAGATCATCAATCCTTCCGAACTACTTCCGCTGTATGTTACACATCAACTCTGCCAGAGCAACTGAAAACCCCAGAAATATATTTCTATCTATGTGTCAATCATTAAACCGAATTCCCATTACAAGTTTAGGTTCCAGTAATTTTTCTTTCATTTGATTCATTGTGAATAGTCTACAAAAAGGTTACACAGACTTCATCAAACATGAAAATGACAAAATGGTCGACGTTTCAAGTAACATTATCGAGTACCGGTAAGAACATAAAGCGTTTTGAAGAAGAGGATCCTTCGGCTACATTCTATAGATAACGTATCAAAAGAAAAACACTAAAATTGTCTGCAATCTGATAATTCTCCAGAGAGCCTGACTGTGGATAATTCTGAACAATTCTTGACAAATTACAGTATGATTCCTGGTTGATGACAATGCAGAGCAATGATTCTTCATTCAGAGAGAAAATAATTACACTACCAACCATAACAAACAAGGCAACCCCTCATTTAACAGTGAAAATGCATTATGTTTGATATCTGAGCAGACAGAAATAACTATTTTTAGATACTGACACCACAAAAGACATAAACAAATCGCCAACAAACCGATTCTCATACCCAGCTCAAGTACTGAGGGTTTCCCTCAAACGACAACTGATCAAGTAATACATATGGTCCTCTTGAAAATAACTACACACTTTTCGCAAAAATATTATAAGATATATATATATATATACCCAATTACAAAAAACTATTCCATAAATTACTGTATATTTTAACAGTAATGTCATCTTTGATATCAATATGGCCAGCAAACAAATTTTGTTACCAGCTCATCACAAACAGAACATATTGAACTTCCTTGATTCTTTATACACCTCGAGTTATATCCTTGATGACAACTGCTATACCATTGGCGATTATTTTCCTTTAAAAAGAGACAGTTCAGACTCGTGATTTTTTTCTCTGTCCATCTACACGTGTCTTAAAATCACATTGGTTTCAGACCTGATGAACACTCAAGAGGCAGACCACTGGGAGGATCAACACTGGAAAACCTGTACATTATATCTTAAAATACACAACTGAAAAATAAAATACACAAAAGATCTCGTTTATCACTTGTTATAGGGTGATAACTGAAATGTTATCATACCTGAACCAGTGCCAAGATGTCCTCCTACTACATGTTGCTATAGGTTTTCCTTGGAGAGGACTTGGTGTTATTAATGTAGAACGGCATCTTTCCTCACATGAATATATGATACCTTTTATCTAATCTTTACCGTCTGTGTTTTGTTTGAAACACGACAGACAGTTTAAGTCTACTGATATTCGTTAACATTTTCAGAAAATGCAGATTACATTGATTTATATGTAATGATATATCAGAAAGGTTGACTCTCTTAGTAAAGTTTGCAAGACGATCCGATAAAAATAACCATGGTTACGTAAAAATCACATGGCCTTTTGATGACCTTGATGCAAAATGGTTTCAATTTGATACAAAAACATGATAGAAGAAAGGCAAATGTTTATGTTAGCTCATTCTAGAGTTTATTTTGTGGCGATAAAGTTTCATGTACAGATGTATCCACAAAAGATTGTCAATTCTGTACCAATCCCATCATGGAATGTTTAATTTAAAGAAACGACCACAAAACATGCTCACAGCAGCAATAAATTCCACATATCCTAAACAAAACTTAAAGAAAATACTTGTTTATGATAAAGTTTGTTTTACTTGAAATCCTTTTTTTAGGTTCTGTTAAGCCTGGTAGATACCATATTATGTGTGTGTTTGTTAATTCTACCCCAGTTTAGACTAAACAACCCGCACCTTGATTCTGCATGAAAGTGTATCCGCGTATGCATCAATGCAATCTCCCTTTGAATTCCAGGCAATGCATGCCCTGTCTAAGACTGGATGAGCAATATGTAACATACAACTATGTCGCTGATCTGCAATAGTCACACATCATCAGTTAGCTCATTCACCCCTGAAGACACATTTGAACTCTTCCAATTCAATGGCTGGAAAAGTTCGTTATGAAATTTCAAGGGGTGAATGAATTTATTCAAAACTTGAACAAATGTCACTGGTTAATTCAAAACCTCATAATAAATAACAAATACATTGAGATACTTTTGTTTGTCATTTCAGGTCTCCATTACTTCCGTAATCTTTCCAAAGACTTGCCATGTGAGAAAATCTACCCAGTATTCCTTATGTACGATACTGAAGGAAAGCTTGGTGCCTTTGGCTGGTCTTTCCAGGGGAAACCCATGGATGTATCCAGTAGTAAGATCAGCTGGTTCCGCATGACTCCCCAAACATATGCGGTAAGTGAACATCATGTTGTTTATTATGCGACAACAATTTTTGGACTTTAGACTAATCCATGAAAGTGAACTGCTGTTAATGACAGTTACTCATAGGTCTGTTGTGGGGGGTCTCTGAAGGCTACATAGGATATAATGGCTCAACAGTAATCGAAATCACATGGTCTCAATGTTCCCCGAGTCAAATGGTTTGTGGCTAAAAGATACAGAAGGTCACACTTTCTGAGGCCTAATGGCATCTCAAAAGTCAAACATTGCTTACTGGTGCAAAGTCATGTGGACTTTGATCAATTTTCCCAAAGTGCAAGGAATATGGCTCAATGATACACAAAAATGTTATTTTCTGTAACTAAAAGGATCCAGAAAATCAAATAGTCTTTGGTGCAATGGTCACCATAGTTACATGGAATTTTGCTCAGCAGTATACAAATTAACATGGTTTTAGTTTCAATGGTCACCAGTCTCATTAGCTAACTGCTCTGCAGTTTTCAAATTAACACGGTGACTCTTTGGTCCTCAAAATCACACGGTCTTTGGTTTAGCCCTATTCCTACTTAGATTAGTAAAGAACTCCCTTGCATGGTGTATACCCTCCAAACAGGGTCAGGAGCATATGCCATTGTCAATTTACAATGAACTTTGACCCTTATTACTGCTTATCAATATGCATCCCTATAGCCACTAATGGAGTTCAGTAATACCAAACATGATCCCTCGTGTTGGATCCTAAAATAAATTTGAAACCAGCTGGATGTAAACCTACACAGAAGTCTGCATGTCGTTGAAAAATATTCCAAATTTAATCAAAAATACGGGAATATGATTTTTGTTTTTCTGTTAATCTATTTATGTGACATTTCCCTATTGTTCCTGGTTTACAATATTAGAGACAGAACGTATGTAACATCTGTCGATGTTAAGATATGGCTGGTAATCTTAGCTCGACTTCAGTAATCCTAACTGACTTTAGCATTAGATTTATGTAATTACATCCCCTGCTATCAGCCACAATATTTCTTTATCACCGAAAATAATATAAAACGTCTCGGCAGCCTGTGGACAATGATAGATCAAATTTACAGAAAACACCTCTAACTTTCCTTGTTCATTGTCATGACAGGCTGTAATATTACAATTTACTGCCAAAGTTATCACTAAAATGTCAAACAGTCATGTGATCTTCAGCTGTCTGTAGCAGAACCAACCTCACTAAGGTGTACAGGAACATCCTGTACTCAAACATAAGTTTCTCTTGAACAGTGGTGTAGGTGTTGACCTTCACCTTTTTTGAGCCTGCTCAGCAGATAAGGAAGTGTCACAGTGTCATTGCGTAGGCGATCGGATGATATCTGTAGATGTCTTCGTATTGTCCGTTTAATTATGTGGCCAGATGTCAAAGCCTTGTCCCTATTTATTGCTGTGCATGTTAAGTGATATTCCTTTGATGTATTTATCCAATTTCTTTTAAGGAATATTTTTATTTTCTGTGATTAAAATTTTGTGAACAAATGAAAGCTTTTTAACTATATATTGTTATGCTAGTAGAAAGTCTAGTGGCTTTACAGATATATTCCATGAAATAGTAAATCTATCACTCCCGTACTCTTCATAACAACATGACAATAGAAAAAAAGTATTCTCCATTCCTTATACTTAGTATTATCCTTGTATAGTCACTGTTAATGTGTTCCTTCGTTACTGAAACAATGATGTCATATTTTAAACAAACTTCAATATTACACGTCCTGACTGATACTATCAGTACTTGTTGATCTTCAATGTTACACCTAAGACACCACAATATATGTGGGGGGGGGGGGTACTGTTCATGTGATATGTCACTACCCCAGAAGCCTTTTGAAATTATAGTACTAAGACCGCTTATCACAACAAACAAAACACTGTTTATACTATTTTTCATAACTGCAATGCACAAACTTCATTCAACTCTTTTAATTAATAGTCAAACCATACAAAGGAACCCCAGGATGAGCGGTGGTGGTCCTGGGTCACACAAAGGTCAAACCAGCACTCCATCCCATAATATCAGCGATAATGGTTATTAATTCATATCCACAGAGGTGATTCTGATATGATTAATCAGAGGTAGACTCATAAACATGTCCCATACATCAGCGCAGTCTCCACTAGGTCCTGTTTACCTTATACCCAAGGCCTTAACCTCACAGCATCGACAGGTTCAAAATGTCAGCAGCTTAACGTCTAATCCCGTACAATTTATACATATAATTTGTTCATCCCAATTTTCTGATCTAAATTATATCCTTTTGCAGTCCTGATGCATGTGTTTTATTGATGTGAGAAATAATTTATGTACAGTCAAGTAATCTCAAAATCACTAAAACCCCATTAAAACTTTGAGATAAAGTTCAAACCCTAGTTTTAAGTCAGATTAAGATCTTCATCATCTAGGAGCAAAATGGTGCCGATTATAGCAACAGCTACCGGACAATGAAATAAAACGAGTATAATAAAATGACCTATGAATGGTATGAACTTACAAACACATAACTTTATAATCTTATTTCTTCAGACCTCATGACCTCAAGCTTTTGTCATAGATACACGCATTAATTTACAAACTGACTCACCAATATCATATGCCAAAACATAACCTTGCAAGTACTGTGGCTGTGTATATGAGTCCCTCAGAATTTTTGTTTTGTATGAAGTTGAATCCGTTTTTATCTTTATCAAAGCCGAACAGCATACATCCATAAGTATGTGTTTGACATATAGAGGGACAAAGGTGGTTGTCTCCCCTGAACCTATTATGTGATAACAATGTACACTGTCTCCTCCACATCCTGTGGGGACATTATACACTACCAACAGACACATCAGAACACCTCATAATCACCCGCTTTTCAATGCAAAATGCCAAAAACTGTAGAGCACCGATGACCAGAATACATTATATACATTACTTATGGTGGCAGTTAGGCTTCCAGGTCACGTTAATCGTGAAAATAAAAGCGATTTCAGCAAATAAACGACAGAAAATATTTAATTGCTCTCAGGAAAAGGATATTCCTTTGCATGCATCATATCTTGTATGATACTTCATGATTTTAATTGAACTAATTAAGTCACATATCTTCCGATTCTCGTTCGTTTCCCGTTTTCGAAAAAACAATTATTCTTCCCTTAGAGTTCCTTCTACCTCCTATTTGTCTTCAAGATTTATTTTCCTGATTCAACTTTGAACTTAAGTCTGCATTTACAAGGTAGCAGGATCTAAAATCATTCTTCTCAGAGACAAATGTACATGCCTGATCAACTCGGAATCAAAGAAACTTCTTGGACAAAAGGAGTTAGAGCTTTTATCTTTCGACACCTAACACCTATAGGTAACTCTAGTGACCTTCAAATTAAATCATTACTGACCTTGACTATAAAATTCATTATCAAAATAATATTGATTTGAAAGTAAATATTTTGTATCTATTTGTATTTGCTGCTTACTACCATACAGAATATCCATCACTTCTCCAGTGCGAGTTCCGATTCATTTCGAACACCATCTCCGTTATTGACGAAATGTGTTTAAACAGAATAAAAGTTCTCAAGTGTAGCTAGCCCAATGCTATTTCAAAATTGTTTCACCCTCAAAAAATATCAAGAGCATTTAAGAGGTATGATTGAAATTGTACTTTGATATGCAAGCGGAGATTAATAAGTCATCAACATGAATTAAAACGGAATTAATTAGAGTTTTCATTATAACGAGGTTTGACTTCAAAGTGTCAAGAACAATTAATTTCACATGGTAATTTAACAATTTTAAACAGTTAAATTGTTCTATTTCAGAAAGTTGATAGAAAATGCTATGTTCGTCAATATTAACTTAGCACAGCTTTCATAAACACGTATCAGATACATGTACATAAATAGCCAGAGGTACACCTATCATTTAGCTTGATTTTTCATTATCCTTTGGTACGGATCTACAGCCATGTAATGATACAGAGCTACACTGATCCTTACTGCACCAATGAATAATGGAACTAAGGGATATTGCACTAATATATAAATTCACTTTTCTCTGAGAATATCGACCTTTCTAACCATTATGAGAGAGTGTTGAATCACCCCTGGGTTCTAGGTAAGTTGTGCAATCATACGAAGACCAGAAATTAGATTTATATTTACGGCAAGGTGTCAGATTACTTATTGCAAGATTTGGCAGCCAAATAAGGCAGCAAACACAATATTGGTACAAGTACTACTAATGGCCGCCATGGGTCCTCTATCGCCACGGTAACAGACCGACATTTGCATTCCGACTTTGTCTGTTGTATCATTAGATCTATACACCAGATTCTACGCCAGTAAAACTCACACAATTATTCCTGAGCTTTGCATAATGGAGCATCAAATGATCTCTGTCGCACAAAGCAAAAGTTCATTTACTTTTTAATTTCCTTAGATCTTGTAGCTTTTTATTTCAGTACCAGTAAATGTAGATGTTCACTGTAGCTCATTTACAGTTTCCTAGACACTGACTTTAGCCGGCTTCAATCTTAGAACATTTCAAACTCTATTTGATTGCATTGGTGGCAATACCATGGACAGACTGATTTAAGACCGAGCCCTGAACTATGTTAGAAGGGTAACACATGATCAGTAGGGAGGCTAGTTTTTGTATTTCCTTGTGATATATAGCTCTATCTGCAGACAAACTCGTGAACGAGCAACTTAATTACACTGACATTGTCAAGCTGTTTTATAGAACACAAACCACAGACAAACTTATCCTCCGTTTTGGGTAAGTTTGCTTGTGTACTGATCCAACTTCTGTGTCAGACATTCATTACACAAATCCACCATCAGTACTTCCTGTTTCTATACATTTGACCAACTTGACCCTTGTCTGTGCGTCTTGTAGGCACAGCTGTCTGGCACTTGTCCATCAGCTGGACACTAGTATTTTTGCTTATGGTGTTGTTTTGGTTTTACAGACGGCATCGTCTGGCCATCATGAAAATTAAATGAGGAACTTTTTTTTTTCAAAATGTCTATGTTTCTAAACAGGAATGGTCAATAATCAAAGCTTCTCAGTAAACATTATCAATTGACAGATTTGGCCAAAAGGATAACAATCTGATATTCTGTGGAGATGGCCAGGGTACATTTTTAATGTTTTAGGCAGGAACCTTCAGAAAAAGTTTTTTTCTCTTGCCAATACAACTCCTTTAACCCAAGTGGAATATGAAATGGTCTGGTTTGGGTGCTACAGTGTCTGTACAGTAGCACATTTGGGGGAAAAAAACACTTAAAATGTTATAATGCCTCTAACAAGTTTTTGCTTTAGTTATAGATCACAAATTGTGCTTTAGGTAATGAATTCTACCTTTAACATATCTATCTGTGAATTTGTATTAATTTTTTTCTTAAATATTATTCAGTGTGCTTCCTTAAAACGTGAGAGCCAAGTTGAAATTATTATTCATAAAAGATCCTGTATAGGATGTGGAACTATTTTGGTTGGAGATGTAACTTGTCACGGTAAGCTAGCATATATCCTAAACTCAGGGTTTATATACACTATGCTTTGCACTCCCCTTCAAGGTGTGCAATGCCTTCAAACTCGAACACCTTTATATAACAAGCCATGCAGACATCATCCCTGCACAGTTACTTCTGTTAACCATGATAACCAAAAGCTATAGAACAACACATGATAAGTTATGGAATATAAGGAAAATCATTTCTGTTATTTTGGATTGGGCATAAAAAGGAACATAACTAGATCATGGAAAAACCAACAAAAAATCTAATTAGACTGACAAGAAACTTTCATAGGTCTGATCAACAGCAGAAAAAAAAAATATCAAACAGATTATCTAATGAGTGAAATAATGAAAATTTAAAACTGTGAGTCAATGCTGGATAGATTCATCATTAGCGAGGGATCCAAATGAGACATCAACAGACGCGTCAGAGCTTTACCTGTGTTTTTACCTGTGTTTTTACGTGTATCATAGGTGAATCATTATTTCAAATATCAGGCCAAGACAATTGGAAAGCTAGACTTAGAGCTCCCTTAATGGGACAGTCGTTGTACAGCTGCTTTTCAATGGGGTCATTGAAAAGTCAAAGGAATACCTTACTGTATACAGGTATTGTACCTATGTGAAGGTGTATGTTACTCCTGTACAGGTGTATAATGAGCCATGAACAGGTATATTTGTTCAAATATGTTTATATTTATTTACAAGTATTTTTGCCATAAACAGGTCAGCTATATTTTTCATTTCAAATATTTTGCATTAAAGCCTTTTAATTTCTTTAAAATGATACAAACTGTAGTGACAAACTACCAGAATCTTAATAATGTAAACATTGCAATCCCCCCCCCCAAAAATAAAAAATTGCAAATGATTATATCTTACTCTGCTAATTGGTCCATGTTTTCAATCTTTGCAGTTCACATTTGATACCAGAGTGTTACCAGCGTGCATGTTTCACGAAGACTTCCGAATATTTGGGATACATATATGGTTACAGCCGCACGACTCAGAGGAAATGACATGTCCGATAGTGATACAGGACCCTCCCACCGGGTCTCCGGGACACAAACCCAGCACGATCAACTACACCAATGGACCTCAAGTTCCAATGATTACACCTCAACCAGCAGAGGAAAACAGTGCACCATCGGTGTCTCCATCGTCATGGATGCTGTTCTGTGTTACTATAGTAACTGTGTTACATCTCAGAACTCTTGGAGGAAATGTCAACCCACTCTCATAACAGTAGACTTCTGGTTTGTAAAAAACCAGTCGTAATTGACTTTTGGAGAAAAAAACAACCAACATCTGTTTCTGATTGTTTCAAGTCTTTCAACTTAAGCCTGTAGTTAACATTCGTCATCAACATAAGTCTAGTAAACTTTCATTATTAACACAAGTCTGTAGTGAATGTTCATTATTAACCCAAGTCTGTGATGAACGTTCACTATCCCCTCATTCTTGTGAACAATTGCTATCAACATAAGTCTGTAGAGAATGTTCTTTATCCAATTGATGCTAGAGTTCTTACCAGCAGGCAGAACATTCAAAACTGTTAAATTAAATATCTCTTATGGTCACTTTCTCCTATAAAATGATTGCTATGGGTTTGCTTGCACTTTGATTACAAATTAAAGTGACTGCAAATGATTCGTTATTATATAACTGTCTGTTTTGTTTAATTTAGAAATTGAACAAAGATTACAAGAATATGTTTGACATATGATGTATGACATGTTTTAGCAATGTCTTGCATGACAAGTGGATAGAGGTTGACTTTAGTTCTGTGTCGATAAAGCCTTGAAAGAATTGATGATGACCTGTTCAAAGGGAGGTAACTCTGGGAGAGACAGAGGAGAAATGGACTATGCAGTCAAACAACAGATCACATCGCAGGGTCAAACATCATTTATTGTTCAATATTTAACAAAATTGTTTTTGTGTCAATTTAACATCTTCAACATGAAGAAAGCTAACCTACATATGATAAGAAATACAGCATGTGTAAGAGTATTCCTTGAAACTGAACCATGAATTTGCCTAAAAATCATTTAATCATTCCAAACATGTATGAAGGGCCGATCCATTCCTCTCTCTAAATATAGTGCATCAATGTAGAACATTTGACATTTTCTTCATCTTTTGCCGGTGAGACAAAATTCCTTGTTGTGACAGAAGTACATGATCACTGCTATAAATAGGTGGAGTCTGTCTACTGTGGGGAAAGGATTTAAGATTCAATTATCGAAAATCAACTTAAATCAATTTCAAAATACGATATATGAAAGTCTACAAGAGATTTAAAAAATAGTCTTAACTTGCTTTTGTATAATTCCTAAAAAATCTGATATTTTCCAAACAAACCGTGACTTAAATGATAGTCGATTTCCCCGACAGCAGAAATGTAAGCTGTACCTGTAGTGTATGATCATCGTACCAAATACTTATGGTGCTATCCCTGCGTGACCGTTCATCAACCATCACTGGATACTTCTTATTTTTCATCAACACCATTTCTCTGATTTGTATCAGCTTCTTCTTAAAGGTCACAAGCCTCTTTTCGTCACGATTACAAATCTTCATGTCATCCTCATGACTTTATTTAAGTAGGCCGATTTTTGTCTGGTCGTTTTCATCTACAGTATTGTGCAAATCTTTCGGAGTCAGATTTTTGCATTAATTTTACATAAAAGGCAGTATAGATTTAAATTTACCTTTGAATATAGATGGACCATTACACAGATTGAAATTTAATTTGTTATCCTAAATTTTAACCAGATTTTAAGTTTCACTTCAGACATATTATGCAGAACATTATAGTAAGGGTTTAAGTTTATCTTTGAATATATATTAACTCATGCACCCCTGAAGACACATTTCGACTCTTCCAATTCAAAGTTTGGAATAGTTCATTATGAGATTTCAGGGGCGAATGAGTTAAACAGATTAAGAATTAGTTAGTAATCCTTACCATATTAAATACTGAACAACTTTTTTAACTTACACTTCTGACGTTTTAATCGAACATAATATACAGAACATTACATTTTCTTCAGATTGACATTACTAGTATATTCATTTCATCAACAAACTGCTACCTGTCATTTTGAATTGTTTGTGAAAACTGAAACATCGGCACAAAAGTTAACTCACAATTTAATTCATGGAGTGACTGCTCGACATTAAGTGGATAATTTCAAACTTAATAATCTGTCAAAGTAAGGACAAACCATTATTTCACTGTCATGCTTGTTTCCAGTCATCAAACGATCAACGACCGAACAATTCATATATTTATCATCCAGGTAGATGTAGCATTATGCACGGTAACTCTTTGCCTTTCACATTTTTGTCTGTCCTGTAACTTTCACAAATCCTAATTTTGATGATTACAAAATAAAACGATGTTTCAAAAAACATACCTCATTTTTACACAGCTCTTCTCAATGTGATAATAGACTAAAAAAAATACCAGCAAAATAACTGTGGAAAAATTTCCTTGAAACTTTCACCATCATAGGTTTCATCAAAATGAACATTCAAGACGCCATTAAAAATTTGAACATTGGTTTCTGGATGATTTTAAATATGCCATTTTTCGATAGCCGTGGGACAGTTGGTCGACAAACCTAAAATGTGTTTCACTGTAACAATGTGAAATGGTGTCATAGTGTCATGGCAGCAGTGACAATGACATGTACATATTAGGATTGCTAACCACTACTGTAATTCCACAGTAAAAAGGAAAAGGATAAAGACATTTTATTAAAAGGATAAAGACATTTTATTTTTTTTGAAAATTCGCTACTGCATCAAAAACAGGTTAGTAGATATGTCTTATTTGTTCCTATTTTGTAATAGTCAAAAGATTGTGGAAGGCCGTGGACAGACAGTAACAACATGGTTTATATACGATGTTTTTGTAAGTGTCCCCACATGTGTGTAATCCTGATCCCTAAGTGCCCACACATCTCCAGCATCCACTTGGTACACGTATCATCTCCAACTCATATGTAAAATACCCATCTTTCTCTCGTCATGTGATCATTACCCATAATCCACTTGCATAATACCCATTATCCAATTTAACTATATCTGCATTTGTAAATATTTCACATGTTTAAGTAAATGTTTAACAATGGTTAATCTGATAAGGACCAGTTTTCTTCATGAACTTGTACAATTCTAAGGCGCCAATTAAAGATTATTATTATATTTAATTCCTATTATTTTGCAAATTTTGTCAAGCAAGTTGCCAGTCAAAGGGAAATAACTTCTACAACATCAGTGTTGAATTGTTAAAGGAATTCATCGATAATTATTGTTACACCTATTTCGGATTGTTCACCTGCACAAATCATCAATAAAAGACAAGACACTATTGATTTCATATAGATGTGAATATATTGTGCGTGCATGTAGCAAAATGAAATAGCTATTCAATAATAACAATAACAAGTTTTATTAAAATTTGAGCAATATCAAAACTGAAGTATAAAGGTAATTCCCTTGACTTCTGATATAGACTCCATAGGTACAACTCTGGTGTATTGAAGTGTAGGACAAAGTACGTAAACATGTAGAACTAAATATTGATGTATATAGCTATGTCTTAACACTTACAACGAGGTACCTATATTGACTGCAAATTAAACTCTGCCTTTGAATTTTATTGATCAATCTTTGTTGAAACTATCATTATCATGCTTTTCTGGAGTTGTCAGTCATCAATCTTCAAGATACATATTTAAAAAGGATTTTGTGCTTCTTTGTATACATAATTAATGTACAAAGTTTCAACTACTGTTGCTTCAGAACATTTCAAGACAAATGTTTATAAACATCAAAGGCAGTTTAAATGAAATTGTGTATTAGTTCATCATGCATTATTGGCATTTTTTGGCCCAATCACAAACCAGCACAATGGCTTTTCTGATTTGGGCACAATGTTGTAAATTATCATAACTGGTACCAAAATGTTTCGGTATGTCACAGATAACTACATTTAATCAAAAGTAACTTTTTAAAAAAGTATACACATTTTTGCTTATGACTACCAGAAGGAGAGAACTGAAACCAGAATGTAACAAATTTTATTTTAGGCAGGTTTCCTGGAGTTTATTTGAAATTTTATTGAATTCTATCTTTTCTAATTAATGAATGTTTTGACATTTTCTTGATGTAATGTCTGTGTTTGTTTAATCATGCTTTTTATTTGATATTTTGTCAGGTGACATTGCATCTACTTAAATGTATCGTCTGTGATATTGAACCCTTTTTTCTCTTATTATCAATATTCTGTTTTATGTACAAACTTCAATCAAGTCATATTTACTATAGATGCCTACAAAAAGGTCGTGTAAAATGTTGTGAGAAAGAAAGTAACGTTAATGTGACTGATTTTTTTTTGTCTGTGTATCAATTGTGAAATTTAAAATTCCTCCATATCAAAAATGTACCAAAAAAAGTTGATGATACAGTATTTCTTTAATTGGAATCCCCATTAGGTTATTATCTCCATCACAGCGTTCACTTTGCATAAAATATGGAAAGGTTAAATTTTTGGGAAAAGTTCAATTTAATCAACAATATATGTTGACTGCATTTTCCACTAATAATGCATAAAATCATCTCATATTTATCTTTTACTTAAAATAGCTGATGGATGCTTTCTCAATTCAAAATATATGATTAACTACTGTTTTCAGGAAGTGATTTCCAAAAGTAGTGATATCTACAGTTTATTACTGCAACTACTGGTCCGGGGACTATGTTTACTGTGTAGTAATTAAGTGGTGGATACGAACCACCAAAATGTACAGGTTTAAATTTACAGCTTACTTGTCGTTGAACATGCTTTATCAGATGGAATATTAAAATATTATTAAAAGTGTTTCGTGAATGTTTTGCAGTAGTCATATATTTGAATTGCTGGTATATACTTTATGGAACATGTTGCAGGTCGAATCAAGTACAAAATATGGATTTGTAAAATTGAGTACAAATCTACAGAAATAATGATAAAGATTCGTCTTTTTTCCTGCAGTGAGTATAAATCCCCGTGTAATCCTTTCAGATTAACACTTAAAGCTCAAAATATCTTTCAAATATTTAAACATACCAATATATTTTTCAGAATTATAAAATCTTATAAGATCCAGACCTTGTTATCAAACAATTAAGGGGATCAAGTAAGTTCAGAATGTCACTCTAACAGGACTGTATGTGACTATCAGACATTTAGAAGTTCTGTATACCTCATTGTATTTCTGATGTGATAGTCTATAGTACCGTAACATCAAATTATCAACTGTAAACTTAAGAGAGAAAAAAATTATAGCATAAAGTTAAGTATTATATTGGGAAAACAAATAGATTTCCTCTATTACAGAAGGTTTACAGGAGTAAAACTATATTTCTTTATTTACTGTCAGAGTACAGGTTTTATTCAATCACAAAAAACAAAAACAAACAATTTGATAGTTCAGAAATATACCGGGTAGCTAAGATCCCCCAATCAAAACATACATTACAAAGTCATAATATTAATATAACCTAAACCGGAAATTGGAATTTTCCTTTCATTGAATTTTAATTACTAAAAGTCTTACAAAGGATTTTTGTTAATGTAAAACAATTTTGTGGTATTGATGACCATGCTCAAGAGTTTTATTGACTATGATCAAATCTGATCTTGTTGCTTAACTAAAACAGGGGCAGTCGCTGTTTGTTTAAGTGTGTCTTTCATTAGAGTAATTAATATAAATGTAATAAGTTTGTAATAAGTATATATATATATATATGTATCTGTACTATCAGAAGATATATGCAAAATCAGAGCTCAAATAGACTAGCTAACATATAACATTGGGTGACGGTGCGAGTCCTGTATAGTCGTGTAGTACATTGTAAACAAACACAGAAGGTGTGCTGAAGAATTGATACCCTAAAACCTCAGTATATTAAACTGTCTACATTTTTTCAGCCGTATTTTTGGCATTAAAAAGTGGTTTAGTGGAATAAAAACGGAGACATATCAAAGGAATTGAAGACATTAAAGAAAAAGAAGAAAAGGAAACAATAAAAAAATGGGACCAGTTAACAAGGTGGAAAATGAAACAAGCAGCATATATATCGACGTTTTATTGTATAGCATAAAATCAAATTATCTCCTTGTCAAGGACATTGGGTTTCCACAAATTATATCATGTGGTTTCTTTCAGGACAACTTTTCATATAAAAATCGGAATTTTCTAAACATGAAAATGACAATATTTAAGCTGCTTTCTTTGGATTCCTTTTGCTCATAAAATCATTTCGGCCACACTCTTTATAACAATTTAAAAATCTGACTAAAGCGTAACAAACATGTTTCACAGTTGGAATGATGACATAATCTGACGCACATCAACCTGGTAATGTCTGCATGTATAACAATTAAAATGTATATTGATATAAAATGGTTAGTTTAGATAAGTTAGTTTACCCTCTATTTGACATATTTTAATGTATTAACAAACTAGGGTGTAAGGGATATACAATTTAATGATTTACCAGAATAATTAGTGTAGTCATACCCATGAACATTGGTTGTATGACGACTAGAACGGTTGACTGAACAAACACACTATTTTGGTGCAAGGCAATAGTGTGTACTGATAATATATATAAAGTTGACATATTAACACACATTTTCAAGAAGTCTTCAGAGTAACCAAGATTTGTGTGTCAGAAAAGGCTGACATCAGACTTATAAAGGTGTGTATGTGTATAAACCAATTTCATTGGTTAAGATATTTTACACATTGACCACTCAGATCTTTTCTTATAACTTGGCAAGATTTTGTGATGCTATTTTCAGATGTGTGTCTGCCTTAACTGTTGGTATGAATGATTGGTTGCTGACCCTAAAGCACGTGATAGTATAATATTGTATGATTGGATGATTATGTAAATTAGGGTTGTTGAATTTGGAGTGAGAATGTCGGGAGATTGTAACAGTATTTTAATGCGAATTCAAGCTAGTTTTTGTTACCATGTGTTTGTAAAAATTCAAATCAAGTTGTGGATATAATGTTGTATATGATTCAAGGATAGGTGAATAAACTACAACTTTACATAACAAGATTTTGTATTTTTTTCTGATGACTTTGTTAAACAGCCTGTAACACAGCCTGAAGTGTCTTAGTTCCTACAACCTGTAACACAGCCTGTAATACACAGCCTGTAACACAGCCTGAAGTGTCTTAGTTTCTACAACCTGTAACACAGCCTGAAGTGTCTTAGTTTCTACAGCCTGTAACACAGCCTGTAACACATCCTGAAGTGTCTTAGTTTCTACAGCCTGAAACACAGCCTGAAGTGTCTTAGTTTCTACAGCCTGTAATACAGCCTGTAACACATCCTGAAGTGTCTTAGTTTCTACAGCCTGTAACACAGCCTGAAGTGTCTTAGTTTCTATAATGTAATTTTCTCTTTAAATAACAGCCCTATTGTTCAATTCTTCTCTTGTCTTATTTGCTTTGAATACATAAAGTTCCAAAACAATTTTATTCATTAACATTTAAAATACAGATTTGTTTATATTTTACTTTAGAAGAATAGGGAAACGTCTGCCTCAATTTCAAATGGTTATGAACAAAAGCATTTTACCTTCACTTATCATGAAACTATTTTGAGATTCAAACATCTAGCTCTTAGAGGTCAAATAAGAACAGGACAAATCTACAACAAGAATTACATGGAGTTGCCTGTACCAGCTTTGGTGGAATGATGGTGGCTGTATACTGGCACTGCAGAAATAGAACAAATCCAGGGTCATTTAGATTTATAACAGTCGACTGAGTGAAATTATTAATGATATAGTGTACGTAATAGGTCATATGTCACTGATATTAGCATTTCCTCTCATAGCCCCCACCGTCAAATCTCTGGGGTGGGGTTGGGGGTGGTCCCTTGTTGATAATCGTCATCATCATGATAAATACGGAACTTGATCAACTCGCTTAATTACACCTAGGACCACATATATGGATTCTCAACAAAACTTTTCATGTAAAAAGACTGCTCATCATTTAGTAGTTTATTATATTCTACAAATATATTGAGAGAAATTAGTAAGCCTCACATGAAAAGAGTTTGTATCATACAAGGTAGCACACTATCTTTTAACTAAGTACACCCAGTTGTATGTATACACCCTCCACAGGTGTATTGGTATCTAAGGATAAATATACACCTATATAGAAATCAGTCAACAACAAGGCTGCACATTAAAGAAATAGCACCTGTCATTTTCTTATATCATTCTCTAAATACAATCTGATATCAAATTCAAAAAGTCTTCCAAAAATCTTCATGTTTTACATTAACATATATCTGTGCACAAGACAATAAAACTGATAACATCAGCCTCGCAAAACATATGTACCACAAACTCTTGTTTATAAATTAACGGTTAATACAAATTCAGGCCCTGATTTGTTCTTAATCGAAGTAAATCAAAGTAAAGCTTGTCATCAGACTGAAGACTTTTGTAAATCCAAGTAAAGCCTGTCATCAGACTGAAGACTTTTGTAAATCCAACTAAAGCTTGACATCAGACTGTACACTTTCATAAATCCAAGTAAAGCCTGACATCAGACTGAAGACTTTTGTAAATCCAAGAAAAGCTTGACATCAGACTGTACACTTTCATAAATCCAAGTAAAGCCTGTCATCAGACTGAAGACTTTTGTAAATCCAACTAAAGCTTAACCTCAGACTGTACACTTTCATAAATCCAAGTAAAGCCTGTCATCAGACTGAAGACTTTTGTAAATCCAACTAAAGCTTAACCTCAGACTGTACACTTTCATAAATCCAAGTAAAGCCTGACATCAGACTGAAGACTTTCATAAATCCAAGTAAATTTTAAAGCCTGTCATAAGACTAAGGACTCTTGTAAATCCAAGTAAAGCTTGTCATCAGACTGTACACTTTCATAAATCCAAGTTAAAGACTTTCGTAAATCCTAGTTATGCCTTTCATCAGACTGTACACTTTCATAAATCCAAGTAAAGCTTGTCATCAGACTGTAGACTTTTGTAAATCCAAGTAAAGCTTGTCATCAGACTGTACACTTTCATAAATCCAAGTTAAAGACTTTAGTAAATCCTAGTTATGCCTTTCATCAGACTGAAGCCTTTTGTAAATCCAAGTAAAGCTTGTCATCAGACTGAAGACTTTTGTAAATCCAAGTAAAGCCAGTCATCAGACTGAAGACTTTCGTAAATCTAAGTAAAGCTTGTCATCAGACTGAAGACTTTTGTAAATCCAAGTAAAGCTTGTCATCAGACTGAA